CAAAGACACTGTATGTGAGGTCCGAGGTCAAACACTGTCTGTGAGGTCAGCGGCCAAACACACTCTGTGAGGTCGGAGGTCAAACACACTCTCTGTGAGGTCAGAGGTCAAACACTCTCTGTGAGGTCGGCGGTCAAACACTCTCTGTGATGTCAGAGGTCAAACACACCCTCTGAGAGGTCAGAGGTCAAAGACACTGTATGTGAGGTCCGAGGTCAAACACACGCTCTGTGAGGTCAGAGGTCAAACACTCTCTGTGAGGTCGGCAGTCAAACACACTCTGTGAGGTCAGAGGTCAAACACTCTCTGTGAGGTCGGCAGTCAAACACACTCTGTGAGGTCAGAGGTCAAACACACCCTCTGAGAGGTCAGAGGTCAAAGACACTGTATGTGAGGTCCGAGGTCAAACACTGTCTGTGAGGTCAGCGGCCAAACACACTCTGTGAGGTCGGAGGTCAAACAGTCTCTGTGAAGTCAGAGATCAAACACTCTCTGTGAGGTCGGAGGTCAAACACACTCTCTGTGAGGTCAGAGGTCAAACACTCTCTGTGAGGTCGGAGGTCAAACACACTCTGTGAAGTCAGAGATCAAACACTCTGTGAGGTCGGAGGTCAAACACTCTGTATGTAAAGGTCAGAGGTCAAACACACTCTGTCAGTTGATGTTGTTGGTGTGTGTGTCTCTTTGGAGTCTGATGTCGGTGTTCTGTCCACTGCTCCTGTCTCTCATCTCTGTGCTGTTGTCTCTTCTCTTTCTCTCTGTGTTGTGTTTATCTCTTGACTGTGAAGTTGAGCCCTACTGCAGTGGAGGATGACAGCAAGCTGTCGGTAAGTATTGTCCATAGTCTGTGTGTCGGTCTGTTTACTCGTGTTTGTGCTGTGTTGTAAAGCATGACGTTTATTAAATGAAACCCTGTGATCCACAATAGAAGAAAGAGCCACTCCTGAGAGTTTATTATTATTGTTTTAAATATATTTCGAGACAAATAATAGAAGGATAAGATAAATGAATGGATGGATAAATACATACCCACCCAAAAAGAATATGACAGACAGACGGATGTGTTGATGGATAGAAGGAGAGAGAGAGAGAGAGATGGCACCTTGACATCTGCCAGCACTGATCCCTGATCCTCAGAGCAATTTACTGAGTGTTTGTCTCAGCAGAGCACACACATACACACACACACACGCACACACACACACACACACACACTCACGCACGCACGCACAAACACACACACACACACACACACATACACTCTCACACACACTCACGCACGCACGCACAAACACACACACACACACACACACATACACTCTCACACACACTCACGCACGCACGCACAAACACACACACACACACACACACATACACTCTCACACACACTCACGCACGCACGCACAAACACACACACACACACACACACATACACTCTCACACACACTCACGCACGCACGCACAAACACACACACACACACACACACACTCCTGACACCTGTATGATTGTGTTAATCAGTACATTGTGCTCTGAAGGCAGATTAAGCCCACACTTAACCTTTAAGCTAACCCTTAACTTGAGGCCAAGACGCCCAGTTTAGAACCACTCAAACATGCTGCTTCCTTAAGATGAGCCACATTTATACCATCTCTATGACGACCGTGCTGTCAATGTGCAGTCTTTATTCTGATGTCACTGACCATAAGGCTTTGATTGATGCGTTTCTCCTCCTATCACAGGCCAAACCACGGCTGCAGAGAGGAGGAAGCTCCGCGTCTTTACACAACAGCCTAATGAGGAACAGCATCTTTCATCTGATGATCCCACATTGAGTAAGAACAGAATAATGCTTTGAAATGCAGAATTATTTGAGTTATTTTCAACAAATTAATTTCAAGAAATGCCTGGGATATATTTCAACTACTAACTAAATAAATAATAATAATAATAATAATAATAATAATAATAATAATTAAATAATAAATAAATACATACATACATAAATAAATACATATATAAATAGTATTAAAAAGAGCTGTTTAATTTAATAAAATATATATTTTTGCCTAATAATAATAATAATAATAAGAAGAAGAAGAAGAAGAAGAAGAAGAGATGTTAAATTTTAATTACAAAAACATTAAGACTTTTTTTTTTTTTGCATGGAGACATGTTCAAATATGTAGATTGTCAGACAAATATACATGTACTCTGCAGATATTGTATTTAAATTAGTATAATTAAACAATAAAAAGAGCTGTTAAATTGTATCAGTTTGCATTACTGTACTACAGTAAAGAATTATATTTTCACTTTATGTAATGAGAAAAGGGAGGATGGGATCCTATAAACCAACTTAGCTATCTATAATATTATATTTTTTCTTTCATTCTGATATTTATTTGGAATACGCTTTGATTTCACCCTATTTCTCTTGTCATCTGATACACAAGTTCTTATCACCATGATTGTAATAATTAGATGTATTAAGCATACTCCTCCACATGTTCCTCTACTGCTGGAGCTGCTGAAGAAGTTCCTGTAGACGGCTGTCGTGGTTTGATGAAGTGCAGCAGTGTTAGTGTGACCGGCTGTGTTTGCTGGTTTTCATTAAAGACTGTGGTCTTTAGAATAAAACTTTCATGTTGCAGAGATGTTTTATGATGAAGGTAAAGGTGGGCTCGCCTTGGTGAAATTTAGCAAAAAAGGACCATTGTTTGCTGTCAATAGTGCAGCGATTTCTCACACAGACATCACTTTCAAACCAAACAGTTTTCTGCCGGTCAGTGCTGTGAATACACTTTAACTAACTCAAACACGAGCGGAATCTGCATGGGGAATTATTTAGCCTTTGCGTAAAACTCCCAGTCACACGGACTGCTGTTGAAATGACTGGAGTTCAACTGCAAAAATGTGCTTAGTAACAGTAAATGTGACCACATTTGTAGAATAGATGTGTTGCTGTAGAGTAAGTCATGGCTAGTGTGGCATGGCTAGTATTTTGGCATAAATAAGATACTGTTACAATTTTTATGAATATTTTGAATTAGTTTTTATTTTTCTATTTCATTTTAATTTTAGTTAAAATTGTAATAATCTTTTATCATTTTTATCAGTTTTTTTAATGGCTATAATATATTTTTTTATTAATTGTAATTATTTTTTTGGTATTTTTAGTTTTTTATATAATTTATCAAGTAAATGAAAATGAAAACTAGCTAAAGTAAAATGTTTATTTTATTTTATTTTATTTAATTTTATTTTATTTCAATTAAAGTTTATTTTAATTTAAGTAACACAAGTTATTTTTGTTAGTTAACTTGAATAACCCGTCATGCTCTGATGCATTCATAAAGTCGCAGCAGTATTAAGCCAGCCGTTTTTGCAGCTTGCTTTTACAAAAATGCTCTTTTACAATTTCAGATTTTGGTGTGACCAGCTAAAGGGATTGTTCAACCAAAGATGACAATTCTATTATCATTTATGCATGCATTTGTACTGTGGAAAACAACAACAACAACAAAATAATTTTATTTTTGTTTTTATTTTATTTTTATCATTTATTTTATTTTTATGTTTTATTAAATCCGTGTGTTCATCTCAAATCTAAAAGACACTTTTGTTTGCAAAGGGTTTTAAAAAGCTTTGACCAAATGACCAAATTCAAATTTTGATTTGACCTGCACATCTGATGGCTATCTGAACAGTAGCACATCTCATCTTTTTATTCACTACATGGCTTTGCAACAGAGCTAAATTTTTTTTTTTGTTTTTTCATCTCTTTCTGACTCTTTTTCATCCCTGTCTGTCTCTCTGTTTTTCTCTGTCTGCTGTTTCCTCAGAATTCACTGACTCTGGTGAGTTATTCTCTAAATCTCCTTGTCATCACAGTCCCAGCTGAAGCCGCTCGTCCTGCTGTCTGTACTGTCTCTGTTTATTCACAGTATTCAGAGACAATGTATACTGTGTGTTATTTTCAAGTTTCAATGTGTGTTTGCCACTTTCCGTTGTGTCTTTCCTTGCTAAAGCTCCATCTCATGTAACCCATAACCCTGATATCCTGTTGCTCATTCACATGTGTGTAAATAAAGACTTTACAGTTAATTGTTCACAACAACTTTTACTGATATATGCATTTTTGTAGACACATTTGAATTCTCACAGGTAGAGATACAAAAATATATATATTGTTAAATCTCTTTATTGTTATTTGTTTGTATAGTGTTTTTCACAATGCACATTGTTCCAAAGCAACTTTACAGAAAGTGATGATATTATTTTATATATATATATATTAGTGCTGTCAATTGATTAAAAAAAAATAACTAATTGTAACAGAGACGCTGGAGTTTGGTTAGAATCCAAGAGCGGAAGTTTATTAAAGGTCAAGGCTTTAAACAGATGTCGATAATCAGGCAGAGGGTCAAAGTCAGAGAAGGAAGCAGATCGTTCGTCACACACAAGGGCAGAAGCAGAGACAATAGTGGAGAGGCAGGCAATGAGTCCAAACACAAACATCAGTCCTGTCAGGCGTCAGAACAAAAGGGGAAGAGTACAAATACCGTGAGTCAAGAAGTCAGGCAGAATCATACACAGGAAATCAATCAGGAACAGAGGAAGAATAACGCTTGGTAAGGCAGATAAACTGGCAATACTTCGCGATCAGCACATGGACTGGTCTCAGTTTATATGAGAGTCAAACAGGAAGTGAAAGCAGAGGAAGCAGAGGGAGTGGAGCACGGTCAGTACTCGGGCGAGGGCTCCCTCTGCTGGCTTGGCGTTACAGAAGCCCCCCCTCTAGGAGCGACTCCTGGAGCTCGACGTGGACGTCCCCGTGGTCTCGGTGCTGGGCGGTCGGGTCTGGCTCGATGAAACTCCTCGATGAGTGATGGATCCAGAATGTCCCGGGCGGCTACCCATGACCTCTCCTCTGGTCCATAGCCTTCCCAGTCCACCAGATACTGGAGCTGACCCCCTTCTTCGTCTCGAGTCCAGTAACACATTCACCCTATATGCCGGAGTTCCAATATCAAAGTCCAATATCAAAGTCCAATATCAAAGTCCAATATCAAAGTCCAGTGGTGGTGGTGGTTCTGGGGCTTCATGGCCAGGGTCAGCTCCCGAGTGGACGGGTTTGAGGAGGGACACATGGAAAGAGGGAGAAATACGATAGTTAGCAGGAAGCTCCAATTGGTATGTTACATCATTAATCTGTCTTAAACACATTCACCCTATATGCCGGAGTTCCATCAAAGTCCAGTGGTGGTGGTGGTTCTGGGGCTTCATGGCCAGGGTCAGCTCCCGAGTGGACGGGTTTGAAAAGGGACACATGGAAAGAGGTAGAGATACGATAGTTAGCAGGAAGCTCCAATTGGTATGCTACATCATTGATCTGTCTTAGTATCTCGAAAGGGCCAACATACCTGGGACTGAGCTTCCTGCTTGGTAGCCGCAACTTGATGTCCTTCGTGGAGAGCCAGACCCGTTGTCCTGGTTGGTAGGTAGGGTGCGGGCGATGTCTTCTATTGGCTTGGAACTCTTGTGTTCTCACAGCTCGCTGGAGATGGACATGAGCACTGTCCACCTTGAGGTACATAATGCTTTCCTGGGGGTGTGTTTGCATGTGAGGGGTCTTGTTGTTGTGCTTCTCTTAGTTCTTCCATGATATCTCAGGAGACTGGGGCTAGGATGATCAAGCTGGGTAGAATGGGACCGGTGATGTGATGCTCTGTGGAGAGGTCATTCGACTTGTCCGTTGGCTTGTGGGTGATAGCCTGAAGTTAAACTGATGTTGATATCCAACTGATTGCAGAATGCCCTCCAGACTTGAGACGTGAATTGGGTACCTCGGTCACTGACTAGGTCCTCTGGTAGTCCATATATCCTAAAGATGTGTTGGAAGAGGGTTTGAGCGGTTTCCATGGCAGTGGGTAGTTTGGGTAGTGGAATGAGACGGCAGGACTTCGAGAAACGGTCAATGATAACCAGTATAGTAGTGTTATTATTGGATGGTGGGAGGTCAGTGATGAAGTCGATAGACAGATGAGACCATGGTCGTTGAGGAATCGGTAATGGCTTGAGTAGACCTGAAGGTAATTCCTTTGGGGTTTTTGACTGAGCACAGATCTGACAGGACTTGACATAGTTGGTGATGTCTCGTGCCATGTTACTCCACCAGAAAGAGTTCTGTACTAGTTGGAGAGTTCGAGAGATACCAGGATGACCGGAGCAGAGAGAAGTGTGAACCCATTGCATGATTCGAAGTCTTAAAGCTTGAGGTACATAATGCTTTCCTGGGGGTGTGTTTGCGGGTGAGGGGTCTTGTTGTTGTGCTTCTCTTAGTTCTTCCATGATATCCCAGGAGACTGGGGCTAGGATGATCGAGCTGGGTAGAATGGGACCGGTGATGTGATGCTCTGTGGAGAGGTCATATTGTCGGGAAAGAGCGTCTGCTTTTCCATTCTTGCTGCCAGGCCGATAAGTTACAGTAAAGTTGAAGCGTGTGAAGAATAATGCCCAACGGGCTTGCCGGGGTTTAAGACACTTGGCACTCTTTATATATTCAAGATTCTTATGGTCTGTAATCACTTGGAAGGGATGAAGAGCTCCCTCAAGCCAGTGACGCCATTCTTCGATCGCTGCTTTCATGGAGAGTAGTTCCTTATTTCCAACATCATAGTTGCGCTCAGCGGAGGTTAGTTTTCTGGAGAAGAAAGCACATGGATACAATTTGCTTGGTTGTCCTTGTCTCTTTGTAACAGAGACGCTGGAGTTTGGTTAGAATCCATGAGCGGAAGTTTATTAAAGGTCAAGGCTTTAAACAGATGTCGATAATCAGGCAGAGGGTCAAAGTCAGAGAAGCAAGCAGATCGTTCGTCACACACAAGGGCAGAAGCAGAGACAATAGTGGAGAGGCAGGCAATGAGTCCAAACACAAACATCAGTCCTATCAGGCGTCAGAACAAAAGGGGCAGAGTACAAATACCGTGAGTCAAGAAGTCAGGCAGAATCATACACAGGAAATCAATCAGGAACAGAGGAAGAATAACGCTTGGTAAGGCAGATAAACTGGCAATACTTTGCGATCAGCACATGGACTGGTCTCAGTTTATATGAGAGTCAAACAGGAAGTGAAAGCAGAGGAAGCCGAGGGAGTGGAGCACGGTCAGTACTCGGGCGAGGGCTCCCTCCGCTGGCTTGGCGTTACACTAATTAATCGCTAATTTTTCTGAAATTAACCGCGATTAATCCCACCTAACATTAAAGTTTTAATAACTTCTAATTTAACTGAACTTAAAACAATCTTCACATAAACCCATTATAATAAATGTCATATTTCCCTGTGCCCTTCAGCAGAAATATAGAGAAATTCAAATTGAAGTTATCAAACACTAAATTCTAAATTAAATATAGATGAATCCTTAAAGCTACGATTGAAGAGCACGTGCTCCGAGCACAGTACCGTTTCCGCACTCGCTTGACTCGCGCCTGACGCTGAAGTGAAGTGGAGCACGCGTCTGAAACGTCTCCCGTTCTCGGTCGTTCTGAGACTGAATAAATGCACTTCTTGTCAAGAGAAAAAGTGACAGAAGCAGCAGTTGTTAGTGTGGTGGCCAACCCTAGCCCCGCCCCTGCGTTAATTGCGAGTTGATATATATATATATATAT